ATAACTGCACACCTTCTTTTAATGCACCTTAGTGTTGGTCCCAAGGGGAGTGCATTTATAGAAGGTTGTCTGTATAACTATATAAATTTGATAAAACAAAATCTCGATAAGCTGAATAAATTGTTCCTTTTCACAATCTTCAGCTTATCAAGTTTTATTTGTAATATATCAAAAATATAATATTTTTTATTATCTTTTATTAAGATTAGTTTTAAGATAATAAATAATCTTATCTAATTTTTAAATTTTTTTAAAAATCTTTATTTTAAATATTAATTAACAAAATAAACAAAAAATTTTTTTAATTATTTCTAAAAATCATAATTATATTATATAAACTATTCTTTATACTTGAATATTGATTTTTGATATTTTGTTTTTAAATGTGACTTTGAAAATAAATAGAGTTACTTCTTCTTATTTTTCATTTCTAAAAAGATTTGAATTTATTGCTTGCAGTCTATTACTATAGTTTTAGAGTATATATTAAATTTATTATATAAATTATTATTTATATATGTTTTATTACATTTTCAAACATATGTAAATATATGCAATTTTAATTTATAAAATCCTAATTATTGTTCTAAAAGATGTATTCAATTTTAATTATTATTAATTGTTATATTTAAAAAATCCATGTTTAAATTTATTTCAATAAAATAAAAAAACAGTCATTTTTGTAACAATTTATAAATATTTTATTTACAATAAGAAATTAAATTAGATTTATGTTTAATTTTGGATTAAATTAATAAATTATTAAGTACATTTAATAAGAACTCGAATTCAATTAGAATAAATTATTAAGTATTATTGAAAGAAAACCATCAAACAAGGAAATAATAACCTGACAGAGACACACAAATATTTAAGAATAATCCCATCTACTAATTCTTAAAGTCTTCTATTTCTATCTGACTTAGTATTTTATGTTCGAAATCTGCTTTTTTAATATTAAATTATATACATATACGGAAAGATGAAATTCATCATTAATGTCCGTGTTCGAAATGTAGTAACAACGGTAGAAACATTCCTAATAGCATGAAACCAATATGCGATTTTTCTAATTTACCGCCACTGTGTCCTCCGTTGATTCCACCATCTTTTGCACTGCTAATAATATCTTGCATTACATGCATCGCAACATATAAGAATGTGCCCCCGGAAAAGAGTAATAACATCGCAGTCCACCATTTCATACCAGTTGGATCTAACTCATTGTTTCTTTGTAGTAAAGTATATGTCACAAGTGCGGACAATGGAGCGGCTAATGCAAAAATCAACAAATGTTGTCGGACCTGCCTACGAGTATGTCCTTCACGTAACAAAACTGTAGACAGACCAAAAGCGGATGGTGCCTTATGTAGCAT